TGAGCCTTCTTATGGAACAGTGATTTCCACGATTCAAGGGTATATACAGTTGTAAATCAGCTGTAGTGACGTTTTTTAAATGGACAGTCAAAGGCATCCTTGTATCTTCCATCCCAGTCTGAAACCCTTCCAGAACCAGAAGCTCTAATGATGATAAAAATGAAACATGGATCCCAATATTGTTACCTCTAAGAGACTGAGTTCACCACAACAGCTGTTTAATAGAAGATGACAAACCTGTACCCACTCTAAACCTTTTTTATACTCTATGCAGTGGATAATGAAACCTTTCAGCAACATATTTACAATTTACCTCACCAATCGTTGTCATCAGGCTTGTCTTCCCAGTACTTCTGCCTCAGGGATAGATTGCTGCACTCAAAACTTACAGTAGACTTCTTACTGTAGTTTTGCTTCTTATTTTCACCATATGCCTGTTCAGTACCTCGTGGACACTATTCATCCAATCATGTGCAATGTAATGTCATAATCAGTGACTATCCCTTAGACACTCAGAGCTGTAGATCAGATGGAGAAAAAGATGATGGCTCAGTTATTTTGTTTTAGTCCTTAAATTTAGCATTTGTTTGTGTGTGTGTTTTGCAAGAGGGCATATTTTATGTACAGAATTGGTTAGAAGACACACGTTTGTTGTCACCATCTTTAACATGCTGCATGGGTCAGCATTGTTATATCATTATGTTTCTTGTCATTGCACACAGAAGATTACAGGCTAGCAGGATCCATGCTTTTCTTGAAGAGTTGGGCTTTTCGGTGGGTTTTCCCAGTGCATACAACTATAACATCCTCGTTTCACTAACATTACACACTTAGGCTGACACCTCTTTGGACAGCATATTTAAAATGACAGTGAAAAGCTATAAGTAAATATAAAGTAAACGCTTTGACTCAACTTCATCTAGTATGTCTGAACGAAAAAGTAGACGAGAGGTCACGTGACCATAAAACTGCTTGTCAATCAATTGTCCAATTGTTTTTAAACCTCTGAAAATGCGAGGCTGTGCATAAAAATTGCTGTAATTTCTAAACGGTTATGCCAGATTTTCTGTTTTGTTAAAAAAACAAAAAACAAAACCTTTGAGTCTTGACTTAAGACTGGAAGTTTGCGCTTCAATCACATTTTGGTTGTGTGATTTTAAATCCACTGCTAAAACAAATTGCATCTTTGTCGACCACAATGGACCTAAGTGTAAGTTTTGGTAACTCTTGAGTATTTAACACAACATGCCTTTGTTTAAATTTCATTTAGCAACTATAATTGCCGTTATATTTTGTCTCCCCTGTGGTAGATGGGTCTGCTGGTTGGTACTTTTCAGTTACAAAGTTGATTCGGCTTGCAACACAATAAGAAGCCTGCAAAAGATTTTCCTTGTTGTTTGAATTAATTGAACCGGTTTCCAAGATCTGCTTAGTACTCGCGATGTTTTGGGCCCAAACGAAAGACTTTCAGTTATCATATATTTAAGGAAGTAGACATTTACAAGGGATAATAAGAGTTTTTGTTATCTCTTGAGTCGTTAAGGCTGTAAACTTGTGTTGAGTTGTGCTCTGAGCCACAATTCTTTCCAAATTATGACATTGAGCTCTGTATTGCTTCAAAGAACCACTCTACAAAACCAACCCAGTTTATCTGGATTGCTCAGGGGACAGATTCTATCTTGGGTCTGCGCAGACGCCCTGAGAAACGGTGTAGCCGCCACTTAATTTGAACAGCTAACGATGAAGATTTAAGTGCATCTTTTGATAGCCTGGATGCGTCATGCTCTGTCTTGCTTGCTCTTCTTTGTCACATAAGCACGCAACAGCCGTCACATTTTCTTGCTGCACATAGCTGTCTCCGGTGCACCGTAAATAATGTTGATAAAGACGCCTCCGAAAATGACTTTCACGCGTCCCCCGATTGATTTAACGTGACCTCCGTTTTCAAAATGATATTGGAAGCCTATTTAAACAGATGAAGGCTCAAATTGTCTTGCTTGTATGCGCATTAATCTCTCATTCATCATCATTACTTGGTGATTGGTCCTTCTACGCCTCCGCCAGCCTCTTGCGTTACGACAGGGGTCTGTAAATTAGGATGTAATCCAATTTAAACAGCGGTAACAGCAGCCACAGCTCCCTTTTTTTTTTTTTTTAAATTTGCTGTCGGTGGACAGCTGCACTACACCGCCCCTATCAAAATGCTTTGTGTTGGTTGTGGGAGCTGGGGAGACCTGTGCCAATTCGCACTAATAAGATCTTATAAGGCTGATGTAATTGCTGTTATGTGCGCAATCTACGAGCCCATCATATCTTGAAGCTCAGTCACACGAAATATTCCAGCGATTAAATGGCATGTTGATGCCGGATTAGGCCACTGAGGATTCAGCCGTATAGTTTCCCGGCAAAGAGATGGGAGCCCATATGTGTGGCTGGGTAAATGTGGTTGTAATTTGCCTCACTTTAATGCGTCGTTTTGGCACAGTGTGACTCGAGGTTTAGATGGCCGTGTAGTGCTGCTGCTCCTGTTGAAAGTCAGCTCCAAATTTCCCAGACTGTTAAAAAAAGAGAAAAGAACCCACCATGAAACCATTTCCCCTTTCCTTTTAAAGAGACTACACCTTCTGAATATTCCGCTAGTCCGCCCCGTTCATCTTTATTTTTATGGTGCGATTTTATTATGCACAAACTAAAGCAATTTTCTTGCGTGACCCGCGTCCCCATCAGGCTTAAAGACACCGGCTGATAGTTTACATAAATCTGCCTTGTGGTTTCGCCTCGACCCGGGAGGCTTAAACGGTGTATTATTCCAAACATATGCATTTTAATCAGCTCGGTCACACTTACAAGAACTCCAGTTAATAAGGCCATCAATCAAACGCGTGAGCGGGAGGGAGCAGGGTGGGTTGGGGGGGGGGCGGGGTTGGACTCAAGGGTGCCGTTTTTGTGGGTGCAGTAGAGTTTGATTAGAACGAGTCTAATAAAAAACAAAAACAAAAAACACTGTACCTAAAATCATATTTGGTAACTAAATTGTTCTTCTTGGTGTCTGGCTTCACTGGCAGGAATCTTCATATTTCATATATTTCAAATTCCAAAATCTTCATATTTCGGAATAATCAGAATAAAGGCTCGAGGAATGTCACCTAAATTTGAAGCATTTAAAATAAAATAAAATAAAATAAAATCTTCATGTTCGATTATGTAAGCACGCAATTGGCCAGTTTTTCGTTTGTTGTTGTTGTTGTTTGTTTTTTTTACTTCGAGGCCCAATTGAAATACCACACACTTTCTCGCCCATCACTGCAATGACTTCTAATCCACGACCTAAAACTCCCTTTAAAGGGTGATTTGTGTGTCTCTCCGCGGGCCGCAGCACTTAGCCAATCCTATTACGCTCCAAAAACTCTTTTAATTTGCTCGGGCCCGGTCAAATGCGGCCAATTAAGATCCCGCTGATTGTTGGCGCTCCTCTCCGAATGATCGATCTCTTTGCATTTCCAATATCTGCAGACACCTAATTCTGTCGCGTCTATTAAGTGGTCGCAGAAAAAAATATGAGTGGCGTTAACGGAGCCCGGGGACCACTTAACTGTCACGGTCAATCTAACGGTCCCATCAGGAAATAGGAGGGGGCGCACTCTGGTGTTTTGACAGCTACCACTTGAGAACAAAATTAGTGTTATTATTGAGGCGGTAGGACTGGCGGACCTGAACCAATTGTGAATGGAGAAGACCCTCAATACGCTTGAAGCTGAACGAAACCAAACCAAAGAATATGACCGGGAGAAAAGCAAAAACAACAACAACAACAAAAATTTGCTTGAATCAGTTTTATTCTATTGCCGTGAGTTTAAAGTGACATATTGGTTATTGGCTATTTAAATGGATCCGAAATACGCGTATAGATCACTCCGCACGCCTTCGATGCTTTGACAGTATTTATTTGCAAATTAAACGATAAGGACAACCCAGTCATAACACAAAAAAACAAAAACAAACAAACAAAAAAAATAGCGAACCAAAAATAAAGTTTTATAATAAAATAATAATAATAGTAAAACAACGAAGAAAAAAAATCAGTCACACATTATTCCGTATTCCCACACAAATGCTAAACTGGTGTAACAGTGCAAAGCGAAAAACGGTTTTAAAGAAGGCCCGTGGGCATAATTTAATCACACTGTCTCTTTTACGGTCATGGGAGAAAACAGAGAAAGAAAGAGTGTTGGGTGGCCTTAAAAATGCTCATTTCTTTTTTTTTCTTTTTTGATTGTCCTCTCTCCATCCTCTTTCTGATCTTTCTCTCCCCTCCCCTCTTCAGATCGTGCCGGCTGTGGTAATCCGTTCCCTCGGCGCCTTGTTACCTTTTGCCTGAAACCTTCCTGGCATTATCATTAATTCAACACTCAAAATTCACCCGGTCTTACATATACATCACTTAATAATTTTACTAGCATCTGCACATTTCGGCCCGGGCCGTCGAGAGGGCCCCGGTGTGGAGAGCTAGCTATAATGAGACGGCCGCAGTCTTTTAACAAATCCCCTTGTTAAAAAAGAGAGATGGAAAGCATCATTCTCGCGTAACTAACAATACGTGTAGGCTGATTTTTGGACGCATAAAATAATGATCAAGACCTTAACGTCATCAATCACGGAGATTTAAACGTTTCTCTGGACCACCCCGCTTATCTCTCCCCGTCTCTCTCTCTCATAGGAGTCACAATAATCTTGTAGAAATCAAATCTGAATTTCTGTCTACGCAGTCTTATTTCAGCCCAATGTCCCCGGCTCTTCGATGGGATTTTTATATTTCAATAACAGCAGGTCTTTTGCGCGTCTTATAGCTGGAGAGCTTTCTCTTCTCCCCAAGTATAAACTGGCTTTCACTGTTTATATACTGGCTACCCCACCCCTCATGCTGTTTCAGTCCTGATCATATAATACGTTAGGGTTAAAAAGCTTGTGGTTAAAGGCTTATGTGGAGCAAGAGTTATTTTTTATCTGGTCAGGGGCACTTCTTCCCTCTGGTCCAGTGTCACAGATGAGGATTTGCTGAGCACTGAAGGCGTGAAAGTGACAAACGCGTCAGTCCTGCTTGTTGGGGAGCAAGCGAAGTCCGAGCCGGAAGGCCTTGTTGAGATGGCGTTGGACTGACTGGAGTGACACGCCAAGCAGGAGCACGGAGTTCCTCCGGGACCTAGGCCGTGAGTGGGACCTGAGTACAAGGAAGGGTGTCTGAAGGCGCACAGGAGCTCGGGCCTCTGGTAGGGATGAGACAGCATCCGGAAACTATCGAGAGAGCGCAGGGGGGTTGAGAAAGGGGCGGCTGCTGGAGCTGAGCCAGCCCCGACGCCCAGGTGAGAGTAGTAGGGCAGCGGCAGGTGCGATGGAAAGGGGTAGGGCAGGTTCCCCGTGGCAGCCGCATGGCTCATCATGTAGGTGTAGAAGGCCGGATCGGCGGGGTGAGGCCAAGTCATGGCCAGACGCTGCCGTTTGTCTTTCATCCTGCGGTTCTGAAACCACACCTGTGAAGGAGACACAGCGGATCAAATATTAACCACAATCCCCCCCGTGACTTGAAACAACACAAGCACATGCGTAGATAATGTTTGGCTTTTTTACTCATGACAATATTTGGATTTGGGTTGGATAAACTTGTTACTGTAATTTATTTATTTATTTATTGTGGACTGCGTGACATTTGACTAGCATCCAATCAAAAAATACCAACCCAAGTAAATAAATAAATATGACCTGTGGCTACATAACGCGGTGCCTGCTTCTTAATCTTTTTTTTTTTTGCTTTGTTTCCTGTATGGACTAATTTGATTTTACTCTATGAGATTATTTTTCATGAGATTATTTCTATCCATACACAAATAAACCACTGGCAGTCATTTACGTAAGCCTGACCATTTTGCACTTGACGTGGATTTGATATACATCAACACAAGCTCACAGTATTGATGGTCAAGAGGCCTAATTCAGTCCCACTTCCCTGAGATGAAATCTTACTTTGATGGTGGTTTCGGGTAGATTTAAAGCGGCCGCAAGTTCGCATCTCCGCGGCCTGGACACATAGTTTTCCCGGTAAAACTCCTTCTCCAGGCGTGCTATCTGCTCTCGCGTGAATGCTGTTCGGTACCGGCGAATCTGATCTGCTGCGTAAGACAGAGAGCCCTGACCCGGGACATTCTTACTCGGCTCAGTACCGCACTCGTTCGGGTGGCTTGGAGAATCCCCATTTCGACCTGAACCAAAAACAGAGAATAAGCATATTTTAATTACAATCAGGTGTAAAACGCACATATTTACAATTTAAACAGGACCCAAAACAAATCGAAACGCTTTATTTATTTCATTCGCTGCCATTTGAAGACTAGCAGGCTAACTCCATTATTTGTTTGACTTTTAGAAAAATAAGAGACATCCTGACTGCTCGCTTAGCTTCTCATTTGGTGTAGTTTTTAAATTAAGATGCAATTTCCACTACTATTATTTTTTTTCTAAAGGTATTTTCCACGATATATTGATTTGATATGAACAATAATTTCCCTTGGTTGAAAATAATCAATACTTAAACTGTAAACTGTTTTCATTCGTTTGTTACTTTAGCATTCGTTTAGTCTGAGGTCTGCTACTCCAAATGTTTCATGTATGAATGTTTATTCATAAAGATTTCACACAGAATGATATTCACAATAAACTGAGCAGTGGGTGCTTGCACCTTCACAGCTGCCAAAACCAATTGACAGAATTTTTTCTTGAATCTCCAATTTTTCCTGGTGAAGTAGCCCATTTGCAGTACGAGTAACTCGTTGTCAAAGTCAGTGAGGGAAATGTCAGGTTACACTGTGGGTGTCACCTCAGCGTTTGCAGCCACACCGATCAGCTGACAGAATTCGGTATAGCACCGACTGCAGCTGCAGTGTTTGAACCTGAAGCAGACCCTGGATCTGTTTCATTGAGCATAAATATTCGATTTTCTGTTCCACCCTACAGTGCCAATATGTTTATTGCAATAGCATACAATCCAACATGCACCCACACAGCTTACCTTTAGCTGTTGGGTAGTCCATGCTTTCAGGCGTGCAGCTGACATCAATTTCCTCATAGAAGTCCGACTCTGTGTCTGAGCTGCTGCCGTCTTTGTGATGTTGGTCAGCCTGGTGCCTCTCTCCGGAGGTAGACGTGCCAACCAGCCTTGCGTCGGCGCTCATATTTCTCCGTGCGCTATCCTCCGCCGCTAGATCGCTCCTGTCGCGGGAATAGGGTGCAGCTCCTGGACTCAGACAACCTCTGTGGCCCGGCTTGCCTGGTGGTTCTCGCACGGGGCTCCCGATGGCTTCCGACAAATTAGAGCCGCTCTTGCCAAGCTGACCTCCCTCTGCCAGCATCACCATCTCCTCTCTGCTTTCCATCACAAGCACGACTTAAAAGAAAAAACAAAACAAGCAAACCTCGTCTTCGAGGCGAACCGTCAAAACCAAGGAGATGAATCTCAGGTTGGAGGGGTGTGCGCGTGTGTGCGTGCAGCGGGGATGGCGGTGGGTGGGAGATTGCGTCCTAAAAGAGAAGGAGAGGCTTCTGGAAAAAAAAGAGGGGATGCAATCCGGTCTGAACCTGAGAGAAGACCGCTTCAGAGTGCCGAGTGGGAGCTCTGGGAGGGATCACCATTTACCCTCTCTCTCCCTCCCTCTCTCTCTTTCTTCAGAGCTGTCATTCTTAATGACCCAGTCTTCACGATGGTCCCCCCTGATGACGACACTCATTGACTGAATCTGTGGGTAAACAGAAGGAGCAACGGCAACGGCGAGATGGGGGTGGGGGATGTCAGAGGGCACAACAAGAGGCAGCAGAACCAAGAAACAGCATATTTAGGATTTACATGGTGATGTATCTGTGGTGTTGAAATATTGAAATATGCATTAAGTCATTATTATTATTATTATTATTATTATTATTATTATTATTATTATTATTATTATTATTAGTAATAGTAGTAGTAGTAAAATAATGTTTGCTTAAGACTTAGCTTTTTATTGTATTTTATTGTATTACAGTATATTTAAATTACCAATAAGCCATTTTAACGCCAGTTAATATGCTCAAATATTTTGGGGTTTTTTTCTACTTATTAAATAAAGTTCAGCTTTGCTTTTGCTCAAATATAACTAATTAACACAGAGTCATTTCGTAAAACTCATATCAGTCATTTAAGTTACATTATGTATTTACATTCTATTCACCCCTCCCTCCCCCGTCACCTTCCCCTCTCTCTTGTGATTGTTATCATCATCTTAAGTGGAGTCAAGTAAAGTCTCCAAAGGTCAGGTCTTGCGGTCAGGGTTTAGATAAAGGCCGATTAGAGATGAAAAAAAGGAAACGTTGAACCGAAACCATTCTCTTTATTCTTTATGCCCAAACAAGTTATGAAATGTGGTACCGTGATTTGCATTGCTAATTTGTATGATCATGTGTGCAAAGCATTTGCTGTTCCAAATGAAAGAAATCCAAACAAAAGCATGACACTGTCATGGGGTTCTTTGGATTCTTATATCGGCAGTGGCCGTTTTTCCAGTTCCCCAGACGTGCAGTGTTTCAGCAAAAAGTCAATGAATGGTGATAATGGGAGCGCAAACCTGCTGCACACAGGGCTTGTAGCTGCTGTTTAGAAGTGGTCACATTTGAACTCTGCCTCTGAGGCGTAAAGACATCTTCACTGCACCAACGTGGCCAAAACATTTATTTAACACAGTTGCAGCAAATAAAGTTTTATTAAAAGCTGGTGTGACTGTTTCTAAACTCCCAGCTATCAAAAATATCAGGCATTCGTGCTATAACTTAAAAACAATTACAGCTTGGGGACAACATTCAAACATCAACGTACCTTCAAATGCAACATTTTAAAGAGCTGAGGCTGATGACTTCCTTAATCACATTGCTCTTTGAGCACACTGAGCTACTTTATCCAGGTGGTTATAACAGAGGTGCCTCCACACGTGCGATTTTCGAACTGCGAGGCTGAGTGTGGCTGCATGTATGTGGATGCATATCGTGTGTCACAGATAGGCGGTGTCATGTGGTCTCACAGAGAGGAGAGGGACATACTGTGGGTTTCCAGCACCCTCCGCTGTCCTTGTGCGCCCTCGCCTGTCCGAAAGTGAGAAAAGGCCCCGAGCAGCAGCCACCCCTCCCCCCGCGACGGATGAGAAGTGAGGGAAATTCCTTTGGCTTTCGCGTCCGACTCTTTCATCTGTTTGGAAAAAAAACCCTCACCTCTCTTCTTTCTTTTTGTTGCTCTATCTATCTATCTATCTATCTATCTATCTATCTATCTATCTATCTATCTATCTATCTATCTATCTATCTATCTATCTATCTATCTATTGTT